TGGATTACAGGGTTTCAAGTTCTACCCTTACTGTGCAACTGTTACCTAAATCATAACCTTAACTTAATTTTCCATTGAGGTATTTTAATAGGTGATCTTGATTAACTTCCCTCTTCCATAAAACCTTTGAAAGTAGATATTTTGTTACATTACCCCAAAAATACTCTGACACAGACACCATTATTGTATTAATAATAAAAATACCTGTATTATAAACCCAAATGAAGTAGTTATGGAATTTAAAAATGTTTACTTGTGTACTTTTTTTTAACTTAGGTACTTTTATTTTGATGTAATTTTAAACCTATAAAAAATTTTCAAGAGTGCAAGAAATTCCCATATACTCTTTACTTAGGTTCAACAACAATTGTGTACATTTTGACCCGTTTGCTTTATCATATTTTATCTACTATTACACACATATTTTTTCTTGAATCCTTTGAAAATTGGAAACATCATACCCCTATATCCCTAAATACTTATGTCTGAATTTCCTAAGAATAACAACATCCTCTTTCATAACCACAGTAAAATTACCACAGTAAGGAAATTTAACCTTTATATGATTCTATTTTATAATCCATAATTGGTTTTCAAATTTTATTAATTCTCCCAGTAATGTCCTTTATGGCTATTTGCCCTTCTCCCCATTTCAAGATCCAATCCAAAATCATACATTGCTTTTAATTGTGTCTCTTTACTCTTTGAGTTGCAGCAGTTCCATAGCCTTTCTTTGAGCCTTTCTTGATCTTGACATTTTTAAAGCTAGGAGGACAGTTATTTTGTATATCTTCCTTAATTTGAGGTTACCAGATGTTGCTTGTGATTAGATTTAGGTTATGCTTTTTTTTTTTCAGGCATAACAAATAAGTGATTGTTTTATCCATCACAGTTCATCATATTAGGAGGCACAAAATGTTAGCTTATTCCAGTATTGGTATTCATTCATTCTCTGATGTATTAATTCCTTTCGTTAAGCCCAAAATACACAGAAAGTAGTTTCAGAATCGCTATCCCTAACACCAGATAAGAAAACCTACTAGAATTCAGTATTGCTTAAAGTATTTTAAGGTAAAATTTAATTATGGCAAAATACATAAATCTTAATGGAACAATTGGATGAGTTTTGATAATACACCCATCTTCACATCTCTATAAAGACTTAGAAAATTTCTGTCACTCAGAAAGTTTCCTGGTGAACATTTCTTGTTAATACTGCCCCTCCCTCGATTGACAACTGTTCTTCTAATGTTTTTTCCCCATTATAGATTAGTTTAGACTGTTTTAGAACTCCATAGCAGTGAAATCATACAGTATGTATTTTTTTTGTTCCCAGTTTTTTTGTTGGCATAATATCTGTGATATTCACCCACATTATTTTGTGTATTAGTAGTTCATTTTTTTATGGCTGAGTAGTACCCCATTGTATACAAATACCAGTTTGTTTATCCATTCTACTGTGATGGATGTTTGGGTTGTTTTCAGTTTATGGCTATCCTATGTAATAAAACTCTAATATGCAAATCAACTGAATGGCAGAACGACCGGTCGCTATGATGTGCACTGACCACCAGGGGGCAGACGCTTAACCCAGGAGCTGCCCCCTGGTGGTCAGTGCACGCCGGGGGGGGGGGGGGGGGGGGGGATGAGCGGCACTCCCACAGTGGGCTGATCCCCACAGGCCACTTCCCTCACCAGTGCATGAATCCCGTGCACTGGGCTTCTAGTAATAAATAAAGCTGATATGAACATTCAAGTAAAAGCATGTACATTTTAATTTTTTGTGTGTAAATGCCTAAGAGTAGAACTTCTGGGTCATTGGATAAATGGTTGTTTAACTTCATTTTTTTTAATGTTGAATTTGTTCCTTGGTTATTTTAATATTTTATGCTCCCATTACCATTTATGAGGATGTTGGCCATAACTGTTACCAGCCCTTTAAATGTTAGCCATTCTAGTGGTTGTGACTGATAGGTATCTCATTAGTTACTGATGAGTTTGATTTCTTTTTTCATATGTTTATTGACAATTCATGTAGCTTTCTTTGTGAAGGGTTGTTTAAACTTTATTGCCTATTTTTAAAAATTGGGTTGCTTTTCTTTTTCCTAATAAATTGTAGTACTTATTCATATATTGTAGTACAAATTGTTTTTGAGATATTTATATTGTGAATATTTTCTTCCATTTTGTGGCTTGCTTATTGATTAAAAAAATAAATTTATTTGGGGTGACATTGGTTAATGTGATTATATAGGTTTCAAGTGTACATTTCTATGATACATGATCTGTATATTGCATTGTGTGCCCATTATCCAAGTCATATCTTCTGCCCTTATCATATATTTTACCCCCTTTACCCTCTATTACTCCTCACTCCCCCTTCCCTCTGGTAACCACCATACTGTTGTCTATGGCTATGAGTTTTTGTTTGTTTTTCATGTTTATTTTTTTGTTGCTTTCAGTTTTATATCCCACATAAGTGAAATATTGTGGTTCTTAACTTTTTCTCTCTGACTTATTTTGCTTAGCATGATATTCTCAAGATCCATCCACATTGTTGCAAGTAGCAGTATTTTCTTATGGCTCAGTAGTATTCCATTATATATGTACCATATCTTTATCCAATTGTCTATCAAAGACCACTACTTCAGTTGTTTCCGTGTCTTGGCCACCATGAATAATGCTGCAGTGAACATAGGGGTACATATATCTTTGCCAATAAATATTTTCAAAATTTTCAGGTAGATACCCAGAAAAAGGGGGTTGCTGGGTCATATGGTAACTTTATTCTTAATTTTTTGAGGAACCACTATACTGTTTTCCATAGTGTCAGAGGACCTGAACGGACACCTCTCCCAAGAATACATACAAATGCCCAATAGATATATGACAAGATGCTCAGCTTCACTAATTATTAGGGAAATGCAAATCAAAACTACAGTGAGCCCTGGCTGGTGTGACTCAATTGATTGGCCATCATCCCATGCACCGAAAGGTTGCCAATTCATTTCCCAGTCAGGGCACATGTCCTGATTGCGGGCTCCATCCCTGTTAGGGGGTGTTCAGGAGGCAGTCAATCTATGTTTCATTCTCACATCGATGTTTCTGTCTCACTCTCCCCTCCTTTCTTCCTAAAACCAAACCAAAACAAAACACACATACACACAAACTATAGTGAGATACCACCTTACACCTGTTAAGAATGGCTATTATCAAAAGACCAGTAATAACAAGTGTTGGAGAGGTTGTGGAGAAAAAGAAACTCTCATTCACTGCTGGTGGGAATGTAAACTGATACAGCCATTATGATTTTCTTAATGTGTTCTATTGAACAGAAATTTTTGACTTTTATGAATTCATATTAATGTTTTCCTATTATGGTTATTGTTTTCTGCATTCTAAGAAATTTTGTCTATCCTCAGTTCACAGAAATATTCTCTTCTGGATTCTTTGGCAAGCATTATTGTCTTATATTTTCCATCACAGATTAATTTTTGTGGATGGGTTGATGTGCCATAATAGAGACTAGAGCTTAATGTTTATTTTTTTTCTCTTTCTTCAAATTCATATTTCTGAGTGTGTGTGTTTTTTTTTAAAATATATTTTATTGATTTTTTACAGAGAAGAAGGGAGAGGGATAGAGAGCCAGAAACATTGATGAGAGAGATCGATCAGCTGCCTCCTGCACGCCCCCCACCGGGGATGTGCCCGCAACCAGGGTACATGCCCTTGACCGGAACCGAACCCGGGACCCTTGAGTCCGCAGGCCGACGCTGTATCCACTGAGCCAAACCGGTTCGGCTTTTGTTTTTTTTTAAACAAGAAACATATTATGCTTGTAAGTTACTCTAATTTGATATATTATATTTTTGGGAAAGCCGAGTACTTCAACATTAATATAGAAATGTATAAGTTTAGGGACTATATAAGCAAACGAAAATGAGTTTATTGCTTTATGATAATGGAAATAATTAAAGTATTTGAATATGTTTAAAAGAATAGGTATATTACTAAATTTACTATTTTTACATTAATAAGAGAGACTTGTGTGAGAACTTTTTCATTGTACACATTATACAAATACATGGGTAGTTTTTTAGTTTTTCAGATGAAATCATCATTTTTTATTTAACTTGCAAAGAGATTTGATAGCCATGTTATATCTCTTTTACTGGTGGTCTAAAGTCTGTCAGGCTTTCCATTTGAAACCCCTATTTTCAGGAGTTTATGAGCAGACAGTTAAAAAAAACACCCAACCAAAATCTTGGCATTCATGGTCTTGGTTCAATAGAAGGTACTTACTTTAACAAAATTTTAAATAGTCAGCTCTTTTTTTAAAATTGTAAGCAGCACAAAGAGGAATAAAGGAATTTCTTTGGTTAAATAAATAGGGAATAGTTTTCCAGACAACTTACCCCAATTCAATTTACAAAGCAAACTTTTCCCTTCTAGAAATCATTTAAGTATGTACGGTCCTATGTTCCAGTTGCCACAATATCTTGCCTTAAGATTTTTTTCTTTGCTGTCTTTCCTAGCAAATGTCCTTTATCCCTCTTCTCTTTTTATCCATTTATGTGTGTTTTTTTAATTCGCCATAATATATTTATAATAAAAATGGCTTTAAATTTTGGCATTCTTTTGTCCCTTTCCCTCTACTTTGCAGTGCCTACTCAAAGCAAGACTACCTATTGGTTGGAAAACAATATTAACTTTGAGAAAAGTGTTATAAATAGCAATGCTTGAAGTTAAATTTCTGAAATCCAAACTTCAAAAACTATTCTGAAGAGCTGTTACTTAAAGAGCAGGCTTTTAGGCAGGGTTTTTTTTCTTCCGGAAAGTATAGCTGTCAGCTTGAGTACTTTCACATTCTGTTTTTAACCTACTATCATTTGCATGGTGAACACTTAAATACTATTGGTCCATAGAGGTGTCTGTGGGTTTTTGTTGCTTTTATTTCACTTCTTATTTTTTTAAAAATCATTTCCTGAAAACCTAGTACAGACATGTAACCTACTGGAAGGGAGCAAGATGATCTGCAAATCTTTACTTTTGCTGTTCTCTGAAGATAATTTGCTTCAGGCAAGAGATTTTTGGGTGCTGCTGAAATTTCGGAGATCTGGGAAAATGGGGTAATAGAATAACATGACACCAGTCCTTAAGCAGCAACATCTGCTGTGGTTCAAAGCCACACAAAAAAAGCTACTTAAGCAGTTGAATGTTTTGGACTGCATGGACAAGTGTGGTTCAACTGCTAAGACTACAGTGTAGAGGGAACTTTCAGCTTAGAGAAGTTGTTTAAAAATGGAGTCCTGGAAGATGAACATCTTTAAGAGACAAACATCATCTTATCCTCCAAGCTATCGAAGATCTTTATCAGAACCTGCTTATGCAAATTCAGAGATAGGAACAAGCTTAAAGAGTTATCCATGGTGTGGTCCATTGAAAAGCAAGAGGAAGAAAAATGAACATGATGTTTCCAATCTAGGAAAGCCATTGAGTGCTTATCGGTGGCAAACACATCCCAGCTTTAGGTGCAAAGTGGGCAAGAAAGAGAGTACGCAAAATAATAAAGGAGACTTGGATGAACTACAACAAAAGGTCCTGCCAAAGATGGTTGATGATAATGCTGCTGCTTCTGCTAATGAGGTCCTTGGAACATCAGCAGAGAAGCTGAACCTGGCCAACACCCGGTCATTTCGGGTTCCATTCACCAGATCTATTTCAGAGCCAGAACCCCGCTGCAGTATCAGATTTGTGAGACCATCGCAGACTTCAGGGAGGTCAGTGGAGTCTGAGCAGCAGGGATATTTCATCCGTGGCATTTTCTCTACTCTTTCCAATGGCTTCTCCAGGATGCTGAGTCTAAAAGGAGAATCAACCAGTGAGCCAGTAAGAGAAGGTATATTGTGATGCATAAGGGGAAAAAAAGAGATACCTGATTTAATTACTATTGGAATTTTAATTACTTGTGTTTTATAATAAGCTAAACCACACTATTTACTCATTATGAGCCAAATTTATGTAATAAGTACACTTTTTAAAAAGTGATAAACACTACTTCAGAGGCCCTCCTTCAATGAATAGTAATAAATAACAGTAAAATATGGATTTGGTTAAAGAATTTTTTGTATTATGTTATACTCTTGAACTCTGTTTTGAAGTCTGTGTAAAAGTGTTTATTTTTTTTACCTTTAAGTTTTTCAAGTTAAATGCAATTTAGAGGAAGCATAATTGAATAATTTCCTCATGATAAAGTTGAGAATTAAAAAACATAATTTCTGTTATCCCTTTATAAATATTAACAAATGTTATTATTTATAGCAGAATTGTTTTGGTAGGTTTTAAAATGTTGGAATTTTGATTTGCTTATGCATAAAAATATACAATTTGCATATGGAAGTGGAAGATGCAAATCTTGAATATGTTTTCAAATAACAAAATTGAAATTTGTGTTTGATTCAGGAAACAGAATTGTCAAATTTTTTAAAACCTCATTAGGACTTGTTTACATTTTAAAAAATTTTATGTTGATGGTAGTATTGTTAAAGCCAAAAAAAAAAAAAAAAAGGAAAACCTCTGATTGCCTTGGAAATGACTGACCTAATCTGATAAGTTGTCTCAATTATGTGTTAAGACCTATGTGTATTTGTTTTTTTTTGTTTTGTTTTTCTTGAAAATGTTAACACTGAAACTTTGATACTATTTTCATCCAGTTGAGAGAATTTTTGGACAAGCTGTGATCATTAGAAAACTTTAGCTTATCTTTCTTATGAGATTGGCCACATCAGCAGAACTTTTAACTCTAAAATTGTGGGAATTAAAGAATTTTGTTATTGCAGTGTAATTTAATATATTTTAAAATAAAATTAGAGAATGTGAAAGTGATATGTAAGTGAAAAATTAAGTAATTTTGCAAATATATGTGTACCAATAACTCAGTACTTTTCCTAAACTCTGCCTTCCCTAGATTTTCCTTGACTCAGTGAGTTTTAATGATATACTTAAGTGTTTTTGTTTTTTTGCTTACTCTTGGCTTACAGATAACTACTAAGAGTAAAATCTTTCTTGATGTGCCTGTATTAACATTCCATTAAAATTTTTGAGCCGTAGCTGGTTTGGCTCAGTGGATAGAGTGTCAGCCTTCAGACCGAAGGGTCCTGGGTTTGATTCTAGTTAAGGGCACATGCCGGGTTGTGGGCTCGGTCCCCAGTGTGGGGCGTGTAGGAGGCAGCCGATCAATGACTCTCCCATCATGGATGTTTCTATCTCTCCCTCTCCCTTCCTCTTTGAAATCAATAAAAATATATTTTAAAAAATATTTTTTGTAAGTCTAGGTTGTTGCATTTCCTTGGATACTAGTATACCTGTTTCCTTGTCAGGTGATCATAGGCTGATGTAAAGGAGCATCAAAGAGAATTAAGAGTTTAAAATAAATTCTTAGAATCAATGCATCTCAATGGTTAACGTGCGCATTTGATAAAAGAAAGCTATAGGTTTTTAAAAAAATATTTGTGTTTATAAACATTTTTAGACTGTTGTAGTTAACTTTCAGTTTTTAGCAAGTATGACAAATTGTTGACCATGTGTGAGGTGTTATGAGAATGTGCACCTGCTTTTTACACATTTTTTTCTACTTAAGGAGATATAAAATATTCTGCATTTATTACATCCTAATATCCATTATAATCATAGAATAATTATGCATGTGGAAGCATATACAAAGTTTAAAGTGTACTTATAAGGGATTTTAAGTTCAATAATTAAAGAATAGTACATACTATTCCTACCAGTCAGGTCAGCAATTTTTATTAAACAGTTACTATACCTCCTAAGTGCTTTACCAGTGGAGAGCCAAGCTCTTTAAATTGAACTGTAATTTTAATGCAAAGATTGGAGCTATTTTTTGTCAAGAGATCTACTTTTCTCTTGAGATCTACTTTTCTCTTGTAGCTTCTACCCAGCATACAGTCTCTGTCAGTGATTTTCTAACCTGCAGTTGTGGATCTTTACTTCTCTTTCCTCACAAGGAAAAGAGTATGATTGGCCTAACGGATGTGAATTCTACTTCCATCTATGCCAATTATCATTTGTGAAATTTAACCTCTTAATTTCTCTTTACACTTTTGTGGAATAGTAATTCCTTTCTCACAAGTGATAAGTAAAATTTGAAAATGCTATGTAAGTTATTACAGTATTGTGGCAAGGTATGAGAATATAAGAACATAGATGTCTTTAAGACTGTGTCAAGAAAATCAATATATTTATTAATTTTAAACCCACTAGTGTTTGTTACTTTTCTTCTTTAATATAAATTGCAAGATGTCAGAGGCATTAAATAATGTATGTATGTATTTAATACATTTAAAATAGTGTTTGGCACATAGCAGCTCTCTCTATATTAGATATTGTTTCTATTAGAAAGTGAATTTACATGAATACAGTTATTTTTAAAAAAATAAGGAAAAAGGATATTTGATTCATAAGTTTGTTATAATTATTAAATACTAGTATAAATAAATTGTAGTGTTTTAATCTTAAGTTTTGTAAACTCAAACTTGTTCTGAGCATGTGCATCTTCTGAGCATAAACAAATAATAATTTCTTATAACTGAACACAATTACCCTCAAGCTTAAAGCAATGAAATATACTATACGTAGGGTCCTCAACCAATTTAAGAGGGAGAAGCTTAAGGTTTCACTACTATTCTGTGTTCAACTCTCCAGTTGAACAGTATGTATTCCTTCATCTGATACAATGTGTAGGTCAAATGATATAATATTTAAAAAATTAAACATTTTCTTATAGCTAAAAGTAATTCCAGCTGCATTTGGCCCATGGCTAAGCATGGAGTCAACTTGCTTGCAATAGGGGAAATATATTGAACACTCATTAAGAGAGGAATAACTAAACAGATTATGGCATATCAGATCAACAAAATTTCATATAATCTAATGGCTGCCACTTACTAGCTCTGTGAAACTAAGTAGAAACTATAAATTGTAAGAGTACATGGTATGTAAACCATATATCTAATGTATGTAACAGAAAGTAGAAATTACTGGGAGGCAATTTTATTCCTAAATTATTTTTCTTCCTCTGTTAATATGTGTAGGTAGGAATGAAAGCTTAAAAAGAGTAAGGAAGTAAACTAATTAAAAAATGAAATAAGAAAGAAAATTAAATATACCTTAGGTAGTTCTCCTTTCTGGTTACAGTTTATGCTTTATCATGTCATAGTAATAAGAATATCTTCTTTCCCAGTGTTATGTTATTAAAGACCCCCTAACTTAGAAATTAGAAGACTTTTTTTCTCAAATATTTTAATATTCTCATTCCTCACAAGGAAAAGAGTATGATTTTAACAACTTTTACATACAAAATGTTATTGAAAAGGACCCTATACATTAACTCAAGAATTGTTTATTGAGTTCCTAAGACACTGTTATTGGTGCTGGGAACATAGCACATTATTTATTAACTAGGGGCCCAGTGCACGAATTCATGCACCTTGAAAGGAACTATGGGCCGTGAGGCTACAGTGGGCACAGGGGCGGGTCTTGGCCCATCCTCCGCGCCCCTGCCTGGCCCCTTCCGCTGTAGCCCCCTGTCTTGTCTGCCGGCAGACCCGCTCCTGCTGCCACCACTCCCATGTGTTGGTGACGCTGGCCCCACTCAAAGCCCGCTGATAGTGTGGAGCGATTGGGGCTGGCGCCATCAGCCGGTGCGAGTGGTGGCTGCTGCCACAATTGCCCCTCAGGAGCAGGGGGAGGTGTTGAAGCCCTCAGGGGCAATCGGAGCTGGCAGCCACCGCTCACACCCACTGACAGCGCCGAGCAATCGGGACTCGTGCTGAGCATTCGGGACTGGCACCAGCAGCGAGCGAAAGCTCTGGTTGCAGGTGCGAGCGGCAGCTCTGGCACTGGCAGCGGGTACAAACAGTGCTGGTGCCAGTAGCAGGTGTGAGTACTGGGCAGGACCACAGTGCATGGCAGCAAAGAATTTTCAATAACCACCAGAGGCTTGCCCTGATGACAGGGACTGGCGCCCCGCCTTGGTCTGGCATCTCTGCTCACCTGCTCCACTGTCCCGCTGCCACGGCCGACACCCGCCATGTTCCATGCTCTGCCGCCTGCTGCCAATGGCCTGGTGGTCAACGCACATCATAGCAACTGGTTGTTCAGTTGTTCTGTCGTTTGGTCTATTTGCATATTAGCCTTTTATTATATAGGATGTGCAGCTTCCTTACTTATTCTAGGGAACCAGTAACCATATTAGAAAAAAAAGTAGGCTAAGTTCACAAGAAGTACATATAATAAACAGTGGTAAAGTCTCGTTAGTATAAGAACTTACCTAGTGCCTAGATCTTTTCTATAATTGGAACTTCTGTTTGCTTTATATTATAATCAGTTAACAATAGATGTTTCTACAAATTCAGAGAAATGTTTTCTTCTTACTATTTCTCCTAAGAATCTGTGTTTCAGCATGCATACCACCTTTTCAGCTAACATTTTGTCATCCATCTGTTGCATCTAAGCTGTCCTGAAGTTGTTGATCCAATATTTTGTCATTTATGATATTTATGTTGTCTGTTGTTAAGCAGCTTTGAAGTTAATAAGTTTTAAAAATTAAAGCAATGAACTTCAATACTTTAGGCTACTTATGTATAATTCTACTGTATTTAAAATTATTCAATATATCAATATAATTCTTTCATTAAAATTTTTTTTATTGATTTCAGAGAGGAAAGAGAGAAACATCAATGATGAAAGAGAATCATTGATTGCTGCCTCCTGCACGCCCAACTGGGGATCCAGCCTGTGACCAGGGCATTGCCTTGACCAGAAATTGAACCGTGACCTCCTGGTTCACAGGTTGATGCTCAACCACTGAACCATGCC